ATTTACTCGTACTCGTTTCACTTGGTAAGTACTAAATTACTACAAGTTTCTACTAGCGTGAAATGTTAAAGCTGAAACTTGAGAAAAAAGTAAATTCACAATAATTTACTAAAATGTGGAAGTTTTTTTCAAAAAACTGACGGACAAAACTCTCGTCATTGGCATTGCTACAATCGTGAACGCGGAGTTATAAAAAATGATAACTCTCTAACATCTTCATAATGTTAACGAGAGAGAGTTACGTCAAACATAACTCTCTCATGTTAGTTCAAGGAAACGTCGGGAGAGTTCGAACATAACTCTCCGAAATCATAACTCTCCGAGATAACTCTCCACTTCATAACTCTCCGTTTAGCCGGTCCCGTTCATATCCAGCCCTTGCACGAAGCAACTCGCAACGAGTTGCTTCGACTACAGAATACAACGAAAATATTTGATTCATTGGAGATGGACCAAAAACTTGATTCATTAAGATCAACCAAAAATTGGTTGTCTCGAGCGGGATTCAAACTCGCACCTTCGGGTTTCTAGATCCAGATCTTTCTGACCCAGGTTTGCAGTTACCTCAGCCTGAGGTCCTCAGGTCCTTGCAGGTAACGTGGTTACCTAGGATCCCAACATCTGACACCAATGGGGTAAGCTTATTTTGTATCCTAATGGTCATAGAGAACGTCAAATCACCTGGGTGATGTGTTGACTGGGAGCGAAAGTAATGCCATTTTCCACTCGTAGCAATAAGGACTTTTGATAACTAGAATGTTCTCCAAATCCTAAAATGAAAAATTCAGACCACGACTTACGTTTTGCGATGTTGGAAGTAATACAGTAACAAATATAATTTCGTCATAAGGTTCAATACTCTCACGATAAACGTAATTGAAAACTGTAGTTACCAATTTAGTCAAAGTTTGGTCAAGAATGCCAAAAGGATGGTAACCAGAGGTTGAACAAATCACAGTAGCTGATGGCGATGTTCGATCTTCGACATGACAATGTTCTTCTGAATACCAACTGTTCGAAGACCACTCAGCACTCCCTGTGTACTCCAGAATAAACTGGAATGAACAAAAGCATGCAATTATACTGAGATACACAATTATTAAAGCACTATCGTGCAGAAGATGAAGGTGACAGGGACCTAGCGACCGGGGGTGTGTGTGGGGAGTGTTTTGTGAACCTCAGGTAAAAATCAGGTAAAATTTAAATTTTGAAATTTTCAGGTAAGGTCGTTATTTTTGTGAAATGATTTTTGTAAAATACAGTCAATTTAGATCCAGTTCGTTTGCGAATTTGCTGAAATGCAGTCCTTGAGAAATGCAACCATTGAGCTTCAAAAATGTTAACATTTTCTGGCCACTTTTTCTTCGGAAACTTAGTATGACAGTGGAAATCAATCAGAAAAAGCTCTATTATATTTATTACACTTCAGGTAAATGTTTAACATTGAAGTTCAAATTTCAGTAAAATCCTCCAACACAAACCAACCCCCCAACTTCAGATGCTTAGCTACGTCCCTGGATGGTGAACTGAGGCAGTTACACAGTCAGAATATGTTATTAAGCCCCGTTTACACGAGCAGATTTTATTTGACAAATTTCATTTGATCAAATGCGTTTGATCAAAAGCTAGCATGCTAGCTTTTGTTCAGATGCATTTGTCACAATAAATTTCTCTCAAATTTATCATCTACACGAGCAAAATATACTTGACATATGAAATTTGTCAAACAAAATTTGCTCGTGTAAACGGGGATTAATATTCGTTATTTACATAGTAGTTTTGAACTTAGTGGAAAATAAATAGAATTGTGAGATGTATTGTACAACCTCAAAGGATCATACTGTTCAAAGGATCATCCAGTGCAACTACAGGAGGAAACTAAACTAAACTAACTTTATTTATACTGAATCACTCAGTGCTAACCTGTTTCTAAATTGAACCTAGCAATGCATTACATAACCACAGGCATAACCTTTTATGTGGCTGTACACATAGGCATAGCCAAGCCAAAATTAGCATAGGCACAGAGTAGAGACATACTCTGAGGCCAGGCGTACGGGAGGAAAAAATAGGTTCAATTAACCTTTCTCACGATGACGAATATCCGCCATTTTTGGGTGGCATCCAATTCTCGTTAACCAATGCAGACAATTAAAACAATATCAAGGTAAAAAGCAATTTTTCAAAATAAACTAACCATTTACAAAGCAAATTTACCATCATTTGTCAAAAAAATTATAAAAAATCGCTGTTGTGTGGACTTATCTCGCAGACTTCGGCTGAAATGCCACCCAAAAATGGCAGCGTGAGCTCGGGTGTGAGAAAGGTTATTATTCCGACTTTCCGAGTTCCAACCACTGTTCCGACCCAAAATTGTCCGACCTTTTACGTCCGACCTTTTACGTTAGTAGAATCATGGATAATAAAATTAATTATTTTATTTTATTATCCGTGGTAGGATCTGCCTGATTTTTAAGTAGAATTGCCTGATTTCTAAGTAGAATTGCCGGATTTTTTATACGAAATACCCTCGTTCGTGACAACCCCGAGACTCCGCACATACCTTAGTTTTTGTTGTAATATAGCCATGATCATTATTTGCAGCTGGATAATATCTAAAAAATAAAATAATGTGTATTTTAAAGTACTAAGTTATAAAAGAAATAAACTAATAAAAAGGCCTAAAAAATATCCCGAAAAAAACATATTCATACCTCCACATTTTAGCAGCCAGGCAAATTTCAAGCTTTGAAAAATATACAATAAGAATGAAAAGCATTAAAGTTCTCTTTTCCCTCATATTTATAGAAAATAAAAATATAAAGTTTATCTTTTTTTACTTTCAAATAAAGTTTTTTACTTTTTGGAAAAAAAAATACTTTTGAAGAATAAACCGCTGGTGTATTCTTGTTCGCACTGCAGGGTCAAGATTCCGGGCAGCGCGCGCATTAAGACTAGGGCGAGCTTCAATTTTTAATTTTTTTCGAAATATTTAGATATCCTTATTTTATCTAGCATATTTAATTCGTCAATAGAAATAAAATTATCCATTATAATATATAGCTGTGTAATAGTGACATTTCAATGAAGAAAAAAAATATATTAGGAATTTTGGCACTACGAAAGAAAAATATCCTTCGAGCCGGATTTGAACCAGCGACCTAGGGATTTCGATTAGGTACCTCTACAGTCCCCCGCTCTGCCAACTGAGCTATCGAAGGATCAGATGCTAACAAGTGTATTTTATTCTTTATAAACAATCCAATTCCACTTACCCTTCAAGCACATGTAAATTATTGCCGTTTTCAATCTTTTCTCTGTTCTAAATATATAATATTTCCTATAAAATCTCTATTCAAATTATATCATATAAATACATAAATTACAATACATAAAAAAATACATAAATTCTCGAATATATTCTGCTACTCTAGCCTCTATGAATTTGTCTTGGATTAAAATCAAATCGATCTAATATTTAAATTGGTATGCGCTAATATTATTCTCTCAAGCTGTTCGCAATCCAGTTTCTAGTGACATGAGCTCTAACTCTTGTCTATAATTATCATCTAAATATGGTTGATGTAACCACATGGCTAAACATGCCATTAATTTACTTCGATCTTCTACTGTTGCTTCTCGTAATACCATTGCAACCAGCCTCTCTTTCAATCGTAACTCTTGTTCAAACATATTGGCCAGCTTTCTTGATACACTGACTGTAATGAATATAAATCATTCTGAATAAAAGCAAAAATTGGATCTTGTTGTATAAACTATATACACGATTGTATATACTGACCGTAGTTTTCCAGTGGCCATGTTTCAAAGACAGGTTGTTTACTTTCACTTGCTCCTTCTTTCATTTCCCGAAGTGAAGATATGGCTTCAAAATTTGAGGTCAATGAGCTCATCTTTTTATGTAAATCTTTCTAAAACACATAGTTCATATCATCAGAGCCGCCGAGAGGGGGGGGGGGCAGGGGGGGGGGCAAATTGCCCCAGGCCCCGTGGTGCTGGGGGCCCCTGAAAAATTTTTGTTGGGCCCCAGTCTTTTTTCTGTGTTGAATATTTCCGTGCAAAGGACAACAAATCTGTTTTATTGGGCTAAGTACCGAAATTATGCAAAAAAAATGAGATAAAGTCTCTGGAAAGTGCGTGCAATCTAATCATCCGGGAAAAATTTTTGACCCCTAAAATGGTACACTGACCGAAATTTTTTTGGCGACGGGGGGGGGGGGGGGAACCA